TCTACGTCAACTTTCCGCTGACGCCCAGATAAGGCGCTAGTCCTAAGAAACCAGGCCTTGAGCTAACAAACCAGTATTTTGTTGGCGTCAGCGGGACGTTGACGTCCCGCTGACGCCCAGATAAGGCGCTTGTCCTAAGAAACCAGATCTTAAGTTTGAAAAAGAGCGACATCAAATATTATTATGCTTTTATTGTTTACAATATAACGCCTTTTTTTCAATTTGCATTTCAACAAAATAAACCACAAACCCAGATAGCAAAATAAGGTTTATTTTCACTCAGCAAAAACCGTTTAATGTAATCCTAAAAAGGTTTGCAATACGGTTTACGTGTAAACCTTCTAAGCTTTAAACGAGATCTGTGACAATCTGCTCTATTCTACGCACATTAGACGTGGTAGAATTTAAAAAAAAGAATCTTTGTTCAGACAAATATAATGCATTTAAAATTGAAACTTCCTGTATGACGTAACTACCACTATAAATATTAAATACCGATTCACTAGTATATAAAACATGTTGACTTTATACTTACTAGAGTCATCTTCAAATCGATGAATGTTGACATGGACGATAATCAAATCCCCACGCCGTACTTATCATTGAAAAATTTTTCGTAATTAGTTTTTATTTTTATGTATTACAAAGATCTTATTAACACCGGCTAGTCACCCTACTTATTTGATTTCGGTCATGAAAGGGAAAAAACATTCCTTAAGTTGTCCATTTTCTGCATTTTTTAAGAGTTCAGCCGACAGCAAGAATTTAAAAAAAGAAAAAAATTAGAGCAAATGGCTTGTTAAAAAACATCCTCAACTTTTCCTCAATATCCTATGCTTGTACCATGAACGCATCTTTAATATTGGGAAATATTCAGAAAGCCATATTAATATCCAGGATGGCTGATGGCATATTTTCTCGGATATTATTAGTTTTTCTCTCCCCCCGCTTTTTAACTTTATTATATTTCTCGTCTGAATGCTTTTTTTCTCTCCATAAAACTCGCCATTGATAAAAATGAGGCTACCGCAGACGATTTTCCTCCTATCAATTATTTTAAAGATTACTTCAATTATATTTGCTAGCTTATAGCTTTCATTGAAAAAATTAATAAAAAGGATAGTTTTGCACTTTCTTTATCGTTAACTATTATTTATTCCGTATCTCAGATGAACTCAATGATCAGAATGAACATAATAGCATTGGCAGATTGCGTCACTAATATTATTATTGCTTGTCTAATATTATTTGAAACCACATTGTTTCTTTTGTTTATAGTTATGCTTTTTAAGCATGAATACTAACTAATAATTAATAAAACCAACTGAAAAACTAAATAATTTAAAATTAACAGTAATTGAAATTAAGAAAAAATAAGTTAGGTATTGAAACGGAAAATTAATGGAGAAATAGTAGGGGAGAGTGGGGTCAATTTTCATCTTATGAGAGTGACGTAACAATTATTGCTTGTCTAATATTATTTGAAACCACATTGTTTCTTTTGTTTATAGTTATGCTTTTTAAGCATGAATCTTTAAAAACTAAATAATTTAAAATTAACAGTAATTGAAATTAAAAAAAAAAGTTAGGTATTGAAACGGAAAATTAATGGAGAAATAGTACTATTTCTCCATTAATAAGGAGAAACGTAAAAAAAATCACATTATAATTGTAATAATAATTGTATAAAAAGATTTCCAAAAATGAATTATTATATAAAGGATCACAGTAATGGTGTTTTCCAACAGGCAATGAATATTTGGTGAGCATAATGTTTTCCCACTATGACCAGAACAACAACGGTCAGCTGGAAGCAGAGGAACTGTGGCAAGCTGCAGAGAGAGATCATTTGGGGCAGTTGTCCACCTCTTGCATACTGGCCGACATGTTACTCTTTGATGATGTCGATAAGGATGGCCGGCTCAACATAAATGAGTTTTACCTGGCTTTTAGTAAGTTATACAGTAAGTTGGCGTCATTCCCTTGGCGGCTTTTTTAGCTTCCCTTTGTTTTGTTTGTACGCATATCTTCATAAAATTTACCATACTGTTATTGATTGGCAAATATCTCCAGAGAATGTTAGTTTTATAGAGGTTTTCTTTTTTATACACATATGGATCAAGATTTTTTTTCCTCACCACATCGTTTATACATTGCGTTAAAAAATTGTAAGACCAATGGCGGATCGGTGCATTTGTGCAAATATACCGCGATATCATATTTAGCACAATTGGTGCGTTCATGACAATGCACATTTTAGCGGGCTTATCATGTATCTATTATTGATGTTGAGACACTTTTTATACCAATTTAAACTTTTAAAATAATTTTAATTTTGTTAAATCCATACATTTTTAAAGAACTGAATATATTGTTTGTATAGGTGAGAACACTAGTAAAATTTAGCACATTATGCATCAAATCGAAAGAATTATAAAGCTTCCCTTCTAGTGTATTTAAACGAAAACCTGGCATGCAAAGGTTTCTTCGGGTTATTAACGATTACCCTAGCAACAATTTTACCTTGGCCCCAGTTGAGCTCAATATTGGCTCAATATGGGTCCTACTTGCACATGCACCAAGAAATCAATATTGGGATGCCTAGATTTTTAAATATCGGTCCTATATAGGGGCAATATCGGCCGTTATGGGACCAATATAGGGCCTATATTGGCTGAATAATGAATATAAAATATCAAGTGAATCTGATAATTCTATATAGGGCCGATATTGGTTGTAAAGTGGAGTTAAAATATCAAAATATCGGGTAAATCGGCCTGTTCTATTTAGGGCTAATATTGGGAAAATAATGGCTTTTTGAACAGTTATTGAGCCAAGATTCGTGAATATTGGTCCAATGAGGGCCCAAGTTATTTTGCTGCTAGAGTCATCTGAAAATATATTCTAGTGGTTCAAGCTTTCTCCTCCATGGCATGGACCAGTGCGCGGGCTGGCTCAAATTGCATAGTGGCTTTTGGAATCCACTCTTATATAATGTTGGTTTAAGAGCCGATAAAATCCAGGCTCGGTTGGGTGGTTTCGAGTGATAATAATAGTGTAGTGAACACTTCGGATCATCATTCCCAGATCGACGCTCAATGGAGCGATTCGAATAATAAACTGAAAAATATCAATTCCTAAAATTATGAAACCCTTTCAACAAGAAACACTCGGCCGAAATTTACTAAATTTTACACGAAAACAAAATTTATAAAATTCACGAAGAAGCGCTTAAGTTCATCTATCAAAAGGTACCTCATGATTGACTTCAGTTAGCATTATTGGTAACTCCTTTCTTCATATTGGTGACCAGGACGTGATATGAAATCCCCAACATCGATGGGCGGTCTACATTGAGCAGTTGATTTGCTCACAAAATAGCTCTCAAAAATCCGGTGTAGTAAATAAAATTCTCCAGGCCAATAAGTAAAGAAAAAAAAGAAAGAATGAGCGAAATATAATAAATAAATAGCATAAATTAACTAGTGGTATTCGTTCCTTGAATTCTATCATAGATAAAATTCTGGCAGGGGAGTAACTACCACTATTATAGTATGTATTACCACTACTTTATACTACTACTACATACTACCACTATAGACTAATGATGATTGAGGACCAAAAACGAATTCCGAAGAAGACATTTTTAAATCTTATAGGTCTGCAAACTAAAAGAGTGTTTAAAATTGTCGAATTGGCGAAAGCCAAGATTTTTAGTTCCTTAAAAATAAAACCTTTGCATGCGGGGATTTAAAAAAAAGCTTTTATGTTTCCTTCTCCATACTGCTTATTTGTTGAGCTTTACCTTTGATGGCTGTTTGTGATATGTCGATGTTATTTCATTTGTTATGTTCATGTATTTTATTTATAAATATTATATTCTTTATATTGTTATAATTTCAAATTATTATATTTTTGTTAGCACTTTGTTTTCGAAATGCGTAAGCTTATGTATTGTAGCATGACATGTGACAAGGGGAATTTGATGAATATTTATGACAGAGGCGTTAAAATAAGGAAAAAAAGTGTAACATCATTTATAACAGCCTCATAAGTGAGCATGAGATAGTGTTGCAAAAGTATTTTAATACAATTACTTTTCCTTTTTCCTTAAAAAAATTTCCAGGTGTGTCTGTGGTTTCTCTGGATAAAGCTCTGGAGGTAAATCACGTGACAGCCAGAGTGGGGGATAACGTGGAAGTGAAGTGTGACGTCACGGGAACTCCACCGCCTCCAATTATTTGGAGACGAAATGACATGGATCTATCAGTGCTTAACGACGAGGAGATAAAAGTAATTAAAATACCTCTCATTTGCATTAACCACTTCCATTGCCAACTTTTTTTTAGGAAAATTAACAAATGAATAAATATTTAAAGAAAATTTTTTTAATAGAATGAATCATCAAATTCTGTATTCCATTATTAAAAGTAGAGAACTTCAACAAAATATAATAAATAGGTTTTAAGTTTCTCAAAAAATATATATTTATTTGTTTGTGTACAATTTTTAGAAACCTTAGTGGCATTTTTGCAATTTTAACATCTGAACTTTTTCCTTAGTCTCTATTTTTTTAAAAAGAAAATTGACTTAAAAGCAGAATATTTTCATAATATTAAGGGCGTTCTTGTCATTTTTTATAACTGACACGATTTTTTTATTTTATTTTATTTTTATAACCGTCGTTAAACAGCCGACCCGGCTTTTTGAGTTTACGACTACTAATGTTCTACTCCGTAGCCTTGTAATTTTGAACACAATCCAGAAGACAAGAAAACACCTAGATCAAGTATTGGGAGAATTTTGCCTTCGTGGAGGATTTTTTAAAGGAACTAACCCGCATTTGCGTTGCATGGAAAGGAAAACCACGAATAACTCACACGGTTAGCTTGACGGCAAGAGGGCTCTAACCCATGATCCGTCTACCAGGGAGGATTTATTCAATGCAGCGTAAAAATAAATCGGAAATAATGCCTCACTTGAATATTTGAAAGAAATTCATTCCTCGCCCTCAAATCACCCCCATTTCGCTCAGAAAAAAAAGGAGAAGCGTTCAGATGAGATTAAGGGAGTTTTCAGGTATCATTTAAAAAGACTTAACAAAGCTTTTTGCTGAAAAAAATACATTTAGTATTAATTTTTCCGAAGAATTGCTATAATTACTAGACTAAGGTACATTTCATTAAAACCGTAGGAAATTGTGCTCACGACAAATTATCGCTACGAAGAATTGTGCTCACGACGAGTTGCACTTTCAACAAATTGTGAATATGACGAATTGCCTTTGCGGCGAATTGTGCTCACGATGCACACGCGTCTCTGCAACACGTGTTCACGACGAATTGTCTCACTACAAATTGCGCACTATGAATTGTCGCTGCTACGAATTGTCGTTGGAGCATATTATCGCTACGGCGAATTGCGCTCACGACGGTTTGTACTTGCAACGATTTGTGAATTTGATGAATTGCCTTTGCGACGAATTGTGCTCACGAGGAATTGTCTCTGAAATGAATTGTGTTCACGACGGTTTGTACTTGCAACGATTTGTGAATTTGATGAATTGCCTTTGCGACGAATTGTGCTCACGAGGAATTGTCTCTGAAATGAATTGTGTTCACGACGGTTTGTACTTGCAACGATTTGTGAATTTGATGAATTGCCTTTGCGACGAATTGTGCTCACGAGGAATTGTCTCTGAAATGAATTGTGTTCACGACGGTTTGTACTTGCAACGATTTGTGAATTTGATGAATTGCCTTTGCGACGAATTGTGCTCACGAGGAATTGTCTCTGAAATGAATTGCGCTCACGACGGTTTGTACTTGCAACGATTCGTGAATTTGATGAATTGCCTTTGCGACGAATTATGCTCACGAGGAATTGTCACTGAAATGAATTGTGTTCACGACGGATTGTCTCACTACAATTTGGGCATAATGAATTGTCGCTGTGACGAATGGTCGTTGGAGCATAGTTATGTAGCACATGCATACAGACTAAATGTAAAATTAACCTTTGAGCAATTTGTGATTATTAGTTTCTAAATAAAGTAGGGGTCCCATCTCCTTAACTCTTGCACTTAAAAATTGTATTTTTTTATAATTATAATTGATTAAAAAAGATTTTGACCACTATCATATACATATAATTTAAATTACCAAAAACAATTAATTAGAAACGATGTTAAGTGTTATCGAAAATGAAACACATCAGCGTACTTTCAAATGTTAAAAAAATAGACCTTGAAAAGATGAATGAGATGAATCCGTTCTCTTTCTTTGCAGGTTTCCCAGGTATTTGTGGACGGTTCCCTCTACTNGAAAAACAATAAGTTTCATTTATTGCGCATAAGCTACAAGTAAACAGAACTCATTAGATAAGTTCAAAATGGAGAAGATTAAACAAAGGAAAGTTACGTACATATGAAAAAAGGGGGGAAGAAAAATAATAATAAAAAGAAATAACAAACAACTGGGGGGGGGATAAAAATTTTTTAAAAAATCCGTAAAATAAAAGATATAATCTTTTCATCAGCCCACACGAATATATCCGCAAAAAAGTTAACGATTAATCCGTTTTATCTTCATTTTGAACTTATATATATCAATAAAGACAAAAAGGATAAAAGGAAAAAAGAGGAAAACAGAGAAAATTAATTTGGAAAAATAAGAAAATAATAAGTTATATTTATTGGGCATAAGCTGCTCTTATATAGAACTATTAAAACAAGTTAAAAACATGGAGAAAACAGGGAAAATGATGTAATAAAGATTAATGAAAAGAAAAGAAAATAATATATAAAAATAAAATATACATTTTTTATAATTTTACTTAAAAAAACATAAAAAAAGCCGGAAAACAAAATAATGAAAAGATATAATCTATTCATCAGCTCACCCGATTATATCTGCAAAACGAAGTGCTTTCCAATATTGTATTAATGTAGCCAAAGCAAAAAATATCGAGGCAATAGTGTAAGGGAGCAAAAAAAATTTAAAAATCCTTTATCTATATATATAGTACTGTTTATAGCCATCCAGCCTTACATTCCATATACAATGTCTAAAGTGCTTATTGTGAACTTGTTGAAGTCCACACAAAAATTGATAACAGTTCATCGTGCACGGGTGACAAAAATGAATGCTCGTCCTAGGATGATAAAAATCACCGACTGATAAAAATCAGTGACGCCTACAGTTTGTACCCTAGACTTCCCCTAGGCATTCGTCTGCACCCGTGGGGGTGACTATTATAACGAGGTATAACTATTTCAAGTAGGGGTGTGGGGGTCATTGATTAGGGCAGGTTTTGGCCGGGGTCGACGAGAGAAAGGGAATCTTTTTCTTCTGTCTATTGCGTTAGCCCTCCCCGAAATGCGCTATTCTTGTTTCCATAGCAGCAGACTGCCTCAAACTGGGGGAGTTCTTACCGCAGACAAACTACATTTACTTCTTATATTGATGCTCTCTGTTTTAGCTCTACCAGAAGTACATGTCGTACCAAAACTTCAGTCGAGGGCTCCCGGTGAATTGGCAGAAATGGAGTGTCACGTGATTGGAGTCCCTCAACCCAGAGTGTACTGGCTGAAGAATGATGAGGAATTAAAAATGGGTTCCGAGAAGTACACCATCATCGGTAAGTATTCAACTCGAATCTATCAATTTAAAAAGCTAATACTCGGCACTGGAAGCTTTCTTCACTTAATGTGGGGATCGGAAAGAAAAGGAGCACCAGCAACCTGCTTGGTAAAAATGGAGAATGCAGTAAGGTTGCTATCTAGATAAAGACACATCTACGTTTCTAAAAACTTTACTACAAATGCTGAAATGAATGACCACCAACACAGGCTACACAGGCGTCGTACAGAATCATGCAGAGCTTGTAAGATATCTGGTAATTCCCTAACTGCCGCATGTACGATTCTTTAGCACCTTTTTCGAATATCGCTGCATATTTGGTGACACTTATCCTTTTTCTATGACACTCATTCAAAGCGAAAATGTTTGATGGTTTTCCATTGATGGACCAACATAATCACGATGGTAACTATCAATAATTCCATCATGAATCATTATATTTTTGATGGTAACCAACCTAAGTAACCATCTCCCCAATGTTGGAATTCGGACTGATTTATGATGTTCCAACATAAGAATAGCAACTTGTTTTGATGGTTTGTGCAAGTTGAACCATCAGAAATTGCCATCATAGTTTTCAAAAATCAAATGTTGGAACGATCATGAACCACCATCACCGCAATGTAGGAATTCGGACTGATTTATGATGGGCCAACATAAAAAAATTGTATTGATGGTTCATTCCTGAGAGCCAACAAGAATTCCCATTAAACCATCATGGACACGTATAGTTGGAACCCTCATGAGCCATCATGGATCATCATCGATTGTTGGTCCATGACAATCAAAATTCTCATGAGGGTTAACCATTATAATGTATTAAAGTAGCTGATGATGAAAGTTCGTTGGCATATCAAAAACATGAAAGCATAATGGTAAATGTTGGATGATTGAGACCATCAAATGATGTTGGACTAACATGAATCGCAATGAAACCTACATAAACCATCAAAATTATTTGATGAGACCATCAAGAATTTTGACTAGAGGTCCTTTGCTTTGCGACCCCGCATTGTACTGTAACTGTTGCTTATTTTGACAAGTTATATCATCTCTGGCAGTTGTAAGCTGTATATTTTATTAGCTAATTTCTGATGATGTCGAAATCCCTTATCTGCACAGCTAATTTTTACTTTTATTTTTAATTATTTTTTGCCCTGATAAAGAGTGATTGCCTTAAATAAGCATTGTCATCGTTCCAAACTTCTTCCATGTGCTATTAAAATATTTGTACGACCACTAAACGAATCTGGTAGGACTTTGTGGTTTTCCTCTCCATATAACACAAATGTGGGTTTGTTCCATCTATAAACTCTACGTGAAAGCTAGTTTGTTCCACTGTTTGATTCAGGAGTTTCTTTGTTTTGTCCAAAACTACAAGGCTACGGAGTTGAATATTTCCGAGTCAAAATTCTTGATGGCTTCCATCAAAAAAGGTTTATGTTGGTTTCAGTGCGATTCGTGATGGTTCAACATCATTTGATAGTCACCATCATCCAACATTTTCAATTACGCGTTCTTGATGGTATCTGATATGCCAACAAACTTCCATTATTCCATGAACCATCATTCTATCCAAATGTTGGAAAATGGTACTTTAATACTATGATGATTTAATTTAAGGAAAAGTTTGATACTCATGAACCAACAGTCCATGATGGTTCCCATTGTACATTTCCATGTCAGTTATCAGGAATATATCATAAAAACAATTTACTTTTTTTATGTTGAACCATCATAAATCAGTCCGAGTTCCTACATTGGAGTGATGGTTACTTATGTTGGTTACCATTAAAAAATATAATGGTTCATGATAGAATTATTGATAGTCCATCAACGGAAAACCATCAACTTGGGTTGACAGTAGTAAACTTAAAAATAGTTCAGCTGTTCAAAGCTTGTTCTAGAAAAGAAATAATCATGTCCCTTGATAAATTCTCTTAAAAATGAAGAAGAAAAATTAAACACATTCAAGGATAACTTGTATAGAAAATTACCGTCCTGAGGAAGGAAGTTAAAACCAGTTTAATTGGTTGGGGTGTTTTCTATTCTCTCTGTTTCCTGGGTTTTGTTTGTCCTCACTTAAATATTCATTGATTTATACAAAGACTTTTTCTTTTCAGGCAACAGTACGGCATTGGTTGTTGGAAAGATCACTTACAGTGACACGGGTGCTTACATGTGTGTTGCCAGCAATCCTGCAGGAGTATCCAGAGACATTAGCTCTTTAGTTGTACAGGATCAACCGACGACAAGTATTACAATCTTTCTTAAATGAAATAATCTTTTTGTATTAATGATAACGGTTAGTAAACAAATATTTTTATAGTTTGTCTAAAATATTAACTACTCCAAACATTCGTCTGGATCTGTGGCCGTGACTATGGTAACGAGGTATGACAATTTCAAGTAGGGGTGCAGGATCACTGTTTTGGATTGATTTCGGCGCGGGTCGGCGAGAGATTGGGAATCTCTTTCTTCGAACTATTATGTTAGTCCTAGAATAAAGCTACCTTCCCTAAAATGAGGTATTCTTGCTTCCATAGCTCCAGACAGCTTCAGACTTTGTGGCGGGAGGAGTTCGTAGCTTAGACAAACTGTACAAGGTTTTTTTTTAAGTAAGGGCCGTTTTATCGTGTACATTAATAGGTGATGCTTGCGTCGCAGCAAGTGTTTGTGTCGTGCCCCGGCATTCCTTGAGAACAACTGTGCTCAGTTGCAGCTGTGTAGGTAAATTGTACTGTCAGATCTGTGCTTTAAAATGTTTAAATTTAACAAGTAACCCACCAAGCACGAGATACGGTAAGTGATGCGTTTTTTGTCGGTAAAAAAAAAAAGTCTGCTACATACATTCACACTTAGATTAGTTAAGTTACGATCTGTGAAGTAGCAAAATTCCCTGCCATGCTGACAGGGAATTTTGCTACTCTATGACAATGACTTTCTGCGCAGCACAGATCCCAGCTTTATTGAACTCTTTTGGTTAGGAAGTTTTGGACCACCCCTCCCTACAGACCAGATCTTGCGCTAAGTGGTTGTCATCTTTTCCGACATTTCAAACATCAATTTGGTAGCAATCACTACAGTTAAAACATAAAAACGGCCAGGACCTTTTGGCTAACGGAGCAGGCGGAAAATTTATATGAAGAGGATATTCTAAATCTAGTTGTCAAGTATGATAAGTGTTTAAACAAACTTGTCAACTATGCTGGAAAAAAAAGAGAAACGTGTGTAGAATCTGGAAATAAATTTGCTTCTTGAAAATTTTCTTTCGTTTGATTTTTATTTTAAAACGGTCCTTACTTAAAAAAACAACCAAAAAAAAAAAAAAAAAAAAAAAAAAAAAAAAAAAAAAAAANAAAAAAAAAAAAAAAAAAAACAAGAATATTGAGAGATGATAAAAATTAGTAGCCAACATGTTCTTTTCAGAGAAGAAAAACGATTTTCGATTTTGGTCTGACAGAATAATTTATTCTTTCGTAGTACACTTGAAAAACGTAGTTTGTAAAATGCTTATTTTTTTTATATTATTACATATTTATTTTGCACTAGCTGAATACCCGTTCTTCGCACGGGGTGAAAAAAAGTAAACAATCAATATATTAGTAGTGAACAATATTTCGAAATCATACAAAAGATTGAAAGATATATTCTATTTTCATGCCGATGAGATAAATGAAGAAATCGCTTACTAAGAATCATGGTTTGTTTGGCAAATAAAAATAGTTAGCATGGAATATCTAAAACTAGTACTCTTATGATCGATATAGCCGTTAATGTAATGTTTTTAACAAGATTATGTAATTTTTTATGCCACCAGTATTGGTTCTACAGTTCCTGACTCATTCAAAAGCCGACACATTATTTCCTTTCGTGAACAATCCACACTGAAATACAGTGCATTATATTATGTATGCATGCTTAGAATCTTTATTTTAAAAAAAAGTATTCAATGTATGAGTACATATTTTAGTGACAAACCTGAGACCTATTGAGGTCGGTAAAAGTAAAGCGGGGATTAAAACCATCCAAATTAAACGAGGAGGAAACTTAAAAGATAGTTCCATGCCCTCTTGTCTAATAAACTTATTAACTTTAATCAGTTCTTTTCTCCCTAACTCTTCGTAAATTTGAATAGGCATATGAAGATTACACGATTTTCCAACTCTCCACACTTTTTCCCACTCAATTACCATGGTTTGGGAAAATATTTCGTTTTCTTCTCTTTGATGGAACGTTTCATTAAAATGTTGCACTACACCATTAAAGATTTAAGTCTAAAATTATAGTAAAATAACCGGCAGCTGTGTGTCCACCCGATTAACCATAAAGTTTAAGGTAAAGAACATTTTCCACATTTACGGTTTTGAAACCGTTTACAACAAGCATGTATATAAAATCATGAACATAAATCTATACGGTTATTTTACCATTGACTACTAGCATGGTTTCAAAACCATAAAAAGGAAATTTAACTGGACATAGGAGCTAAGCTTATCGTTAGGTAATGGGCATTGGAGAGACAAATTAGTGAGAAACTCTTCATGTCTTGAAGGGGATGGAGGAAATATTGTGGTGTCAACGTAGGGACTCGAACCCCTGTTCTGTCGGTCATGAGACTAACAGATAAGCCCTCTCGACTATAATATGCACGTTGCTGCAAAGATATAAGTGACTTCACTAGGAGAGATTAGTTGGTACGATAAAATTCTGCTTGTTTAATAGTATTAGGTGAAAGCAGTTGATAAACGTTTTTTCTCACAGTAATCAGTTTGATTACATCTTATTTATGGTTTGTTAACTGTTTTGTTTCCATATGGTAAAATAACAATTTTAAAAAAATGTTGAACTATTTTTTCTGATGAATCTCTAAGAGTGTATACTGGAGAAAGTGTATTGCAGAAAAGCAAGATTTCTCGAAACCATGATACCGGAAAGGCAGAAAGTGCGGAGAGTGGAGAAATCCTCTTATTCAAATATTAATTGTGGACCTCTATTAATTGTGCTTAGTTTTTCAAGCTGAAATTAATTAATTGCGGTTTCCTTTTGTTCTTTTGCAGCCATGCCCCACACAGCGGGGCACAGGTTCTTTGCCTTCCATGACTGGGGAGTATCTGTGTATGAGCCGGACAATTGCCGACTCTACCACCAGATTCAAAGCACTGATGTCATACCGGGTACCCAAGAATATGTATGTGGTGACCGCGGTCTGAATTGTTCGTGGGGAGCGGCTATCAATGTTGCTGACAGATACGTATACGCATCTCAACCCAACAAAGACAGAATACTTATTATATCCAAGATACAGATGGTAGTGGTCGACGTAAGTTCCCACAACATCTTCTCTTTAAACCCAATGGGTTATAACCTTAGCTTTCTTCTTATCCACCGTGTTATAACTCTGAAGAGTTTTAACATTCATGTATATATGTAGGGGAGAGTTGGACAAAACGGGATACCATTATTGTTTTTATTTAGTACGGAATATCTGTTAAGGAAAACCATACATTATTTTCTTTGTAGCTACAGCATTTATTGAAGCACACAAAAAACATATTTTAAACTAATTTTAATGACTGTGAAATAGTAAAAAAAATTAATTTCCAAACTCTTACATATCTCGTTTTAGCATACCTGGGTTGGATAAAACGGGATAAGGTTTACAATGTTTAATTTTTTGCATAAAACTGAGGGAAAAGCATAATTAACTTTCAGAGAACTGCAAAGCAAAATTTCTATAATGAGTGCTTACGGTGAGGATTTCGCTGGCTGTGTCATCTGCGCTCTAATTCGTCCCAAAGGTGTTCTATGGGATCGAAGTGAGTGCTTACGGTGAGGATTTGGCTGGCTATGCAATCTGCTCTCTAATTCGTCCCAAAGGTGTTCTATGGGATCGAAGTGAGTGCTTACGGTGAGGATTTGGCTGGCTATATCATCTGCTCTCTAATTCGTCCCAAAGGTGTTCTATGGGATCAAAGTGAGTGCTAACGGTGAGGATTTGGCTGGCTATGCAATCTGCTCTCTAATTCGTCCCAAAGGTGTTCTATGGGATCGAAGTGAGTGCTTACGGTATGCAATCTGCGCTCTAATTCGTCCCCAAGGTGTTCTATGGGATCGATGTGAGTGCTTACGGTGAGGATTTGGCTGGCTATGCAATCTGCGCTCTAATTCGTCCCAAAGGTGTTCTATGGGATCGATGTGAGTGCTTACGGTGAGGATTTGGCTGGCTATGCAATCTGCGCTCTAATTCGTCCCAAAGGTGTTCTATGGGATCGAAGTGAGTGCTTACGGTGAGGATTTGGCTGGCTGTGTCATCTGCGCTCTAATTCGTCCCAAAGGTGTTCTATGGGATCGAAGTGAGTGCTTACGGTGAGGATTTGGCTGGCTATGCAATCTGCTCTCTAATTCGTCCCAAAGGTGTTCTATGGGATCGAAGTGAGTGCTTAAGGTGAGGATTTGGCTGGCTATGCAATCTGTTTTATTCCCATATATAGGGGCAGTACAATCAGTGGCGTAGCTAGGTAACCAAGGGCCCTGGGGCAAATTAAAAAATTGGACCCCACTGCTTTTTATCAAACTGATTAGGTTTTATCAAATAAAAATATGAAATATACAAATACTTTAAAAATGCTAAGCTACAAAAGCTCTTTTTTGTGCACTGCAGGGAGGTAATAAGAATATTAAACAGTAACAACATAAATTACAATTAATACTTGGTGTAGGTTTGGCTAATAAAACGAAATAGAGAAGATTCGAGGGTTTATTATATAAAGGTCGGGCCTACCAACTGACTAAATAACAATTATATTTACAATTTTTTCCTAGCTTTAGTTTTCGCAAAAGTATCAATGACTTCGTTTAAATCCAGGCTTGATGCGGTTTTGTTTTCAATTGCTATTAACGATAAGTCGGAGTTATTAACGATAAGTCGGACGACAATTGCTATTAACGATAACGATAAGTCGGTAACTATACGTCGGAGTCGAGTTTGGCCCATATTATTTCTTAAATAATTTTTTATTATTTTTAATTTGCTAAATGACCTTTCTGCTGCAAAATGGCTGCAGAAGTGACAGGAATTGTAAAGAATAATATCATTGCTGTAAATACTTCCGTTAGGTCGCATTCTAGCACTCCATATTTGCTCATTATTTCCTTACATAATTGGTGAACAGTACATGCTTGAGTTAGAAGAGGTAAAACTAGGTGGTAAATATTAATA